TGTCAAAACTCGACACCATTTGAACCGAGAGTTCTCATTTTTAGTCCTCATCTATATTACGATGAAATTTGACAAATTTTCCCAAGGGTATAATAGTCATTCTGAATTTTGCCAAAATCGGGGTGTAACAGTTTTACAATTCTAAATCATCAACACGTTTCTACTTATACTCACACTTTTGACTGCATTGGTTGCAACAACCATAAACCTAAATACCCATTAGCCCCCACTCATTGAGGTACAACCAATTTTTTTATCCCCTCTATCTTCAATCTCAAGATGCATATGTTGTAACCCAAAATTCACTTTATAATCCTCCTTCTGCAACTCCAGTTATGCTAGATGGACATTCTCTTAGTGGCCCTCGATTTCTCTTTTAATTTGGGTTCTTCTCAACTCCCTCCTCAACTGCACAATCCTCCTCTTAGCATGTATTTGGCTATCTCATCTTGATCAGGACAGTTGTAATAGACTCGATAAAACTAACACGTATCTCAAATTCCATCAATATCTCATCTCCCCCTTGTCTTCCTTCACCTACTCCAGTCCACTTCCATACCCTTCAATAACTTTCAAATTTCATCAATATCCTCATCATCTCTCACTTGTGTCTCTTCAACTGCTCCAGTTTTGCTTCCAGGTCTTTGAATACCCTACTTAATTCGATCACTACCCTCATCAACTCACTCTTCTCTGCATTCACCTGTTGCAGTTGAAACTTTACCTACTACCAGATCCAAACACAATTTCTTCCCTCGCCACTTCCCTTCCCAAACCCAATCACAACTCTTTCCAAGTTCAACACCCCCAACTCCTAGAGTGTTGCGAGTAAGCTTAATTTCAACAATGATTATGGCTTGCAATTAGATTAATGGACACGAAAAACATCATCAAAATCAACAGTGTCTAACTAATCCCATAACACTATCAAAATTTGATCGGTAAGCTGTACCTATAGGTGTCAAAACATAGCCAGACCCGATTAACCCGCTCGATCAACCCGACCCACAACCCGACCGCAACATAAGTTCCGTCGAAACACCTGGTATCACACACTGGCACTGAGCCCTGTCAACAAAAGTTCCACACTTTAGGCTGATCTTCTCCAAACCTTCATACTGTATATAGTATTTCTTACGATGAATAGTGAACTTTGACAAGAGGGGCTTGGTGAGGTCGACTTGAATGCATACTCGAGCGTAGTCACTTCTAGCACCCGTCTTCGTCTCATGGTCAACTCGCAGGGATTGCCAATCCGTTTTCCTATCTTCATTACTGCATTCGGGTGGAAAAAGTGAATCGGAATCTCAATCAGCCTGGCCCAGACCAGAGTAGAGGATATCTCATGGCTATAAGGATCGAAGTGTTTAGACCATAGGTGGACCGTAAGATAATTCTCCCCCACCATCCATGGTCCACCTGTGACGGCTCTCTCATAATCAACTCCACTCGTGAAACGAACGAGCAAGTATCCGTTCTTAGCTGATGTAACCTGGATTGACCCAGCCTTTGCCCATATAGTATTCAGTCGCTTCAAGATTAGGGTGTAGGATGCGGCTCGCCCCAGAACCTTCACCACGAGAGCCAATCGCCACTGTCGACAGTACTTTCTCTCTTCCATCGCTGAGAACGGGATGGAGGGGCAGGTGGGGTCGTTCTCCTGCACAAAATCATCTTCCTGGCCGTCTTCGCGCATTGCCTCCACTACGTCTTCGCAATCTGAGTCCGCAACGTACCACACGTCTGTTTGGATCACTTCGCTGAAAAGCCTTCTTGCAGCTCCCGCTCCCTGTCCCTATGTCGTTGGACGAGGACTCAGGGGTTGTGGCTGCTTAAGGTTTTCCTCCGGTGCCTCCTCAAGTACTACGTCCTGACTATCATATGATACCAGATTTGGTGTCATAGGTTTGGCTCTCTTCTTGGTGTGTTGTGCTTCACGATCAGATTTCGGGTTGGGCGATGAGAATTCTGTGGGTGGGCGACGGTGCCCCGAGACAGCGTCCGTGGGGGAGCCTCCGTCGTAACCACCCGCTGCCAGCAGTGGGGAAACCGCCGGCATGGGTCGCGGAAGAAACCCTAGTTCCCTTGCTTTGGTTTTTCTTTCTTTCGTCGCCGCTCCGCTTTCTTCAGAGCACTTTTTTCTTCTCAAAACTCCAAGTGTATTGGTGTCCACCTTCCATTAATCTTGATTGTATAATTCTAAACACCGGAATGAATTTTTGAATCTTCATTTCCTGTGACTAATTGTTAGTCACGGTTAAATACTGTAACAATGTAACAATTTAGCTTTATAAATTTAACTAAAAATAAATAAGGTTTAAAAAATTTAAATGTCTGTAGGGGTGTTAAACACCTCTCTCGTTTTGGCTCCCCCATTACACCAAAATGAACCCCCCCCCCCTTCATTCACAAATTTTTTGACTTCCCCCATTAATTCCCCCCAAAATTTTGACCAAATTTTTGCCTTACCTGCTTGTTTTACCACGAAGAATAAAACAAGAACAAACCCTTAGATAGAAACTAAAATCTCTCGCTCTTTGTGTTGCTGTCTCTCTTATGTTATTCTTCAGTCTTCACAGAAAAATGAAAGCCGACGATAGTTCTACATGCTTCCCCCCTTATCCTTCTCCAATACTCCCTCGACTAAAACCCCTCTCTCTGATCTCAGATGCCACCCATTTCGCTAACTCCCATGGCGGCTCGTCCCAACCCTTCTCCCAGCCCCATTGCCGCCCTCCACTCCTCCATTCATCGATCCCAGATTTGAATACCAATCCTAAATCCGTCAACCAAACCTCAAAGCTCGCAAGCAAGGAGGTACCATGTCCTTCTCTGCCCTAGTTTTTCTTCTTGTTTTTTGTTGAATCTTCTCTTTTCAACAATCTTTGTTACCTGTCTTCCGCTTTCTGAAGTTTAGCTTGGTTTAGAATTGATTCATGCATCAATTAAGAATTTGGATTAAAATTTCGATTTTGAGGTGTTTCTAGGGTTTGAAGTCTTAAAATATTTGGGATTTTTCACTTTTGACCGAATCAACATTCTTCAATTTGAGCTTGCTTTTGATTCTTATGGGGATTGTCACACGGTTGGGATCTCAATATGTGCTTCTTTGCTTGATTGGTTATTGAATTCTAAAATTGGGGCTGTTTGAAACTAACTGAAATGGGCTTTGCAGGCATGAAGCTGCAAGTATACCGACGACTGAATTAGCCAAATACCAAACACCAAATACCAGATTTGTATGGTTATACTAAACGAGATACTTTAATCCAATTACTACTAAAATAATACTAAAATATCAAATAGATAATTAATGGTGTCTTTTGGTTGCAAATATTGATATCACCATTACTATTAGCTAGTGTACCTTACCAATTATGATTAATTACATAACAAGTTTGCAAGTCATACAAATTGATTTAACATTTTAACTAGTTTTTTTCAAAAAAAAATTAAGTATAAATATACGAGGTAGAAATAAATTGGTAAAAAAGTTGAGAAAAATATTTAAAGTTAGTGTAATAAAATCTATAAGTTGGTAATGAGTAATGAGTAAGTTATTCGATGCGCTGGCCTGAACAACCCGAAACCCGATCCGCCCGCAACCCGGCTGACCCAAAACCTGATGAACCCGCAACCTGACTAACCCGCAACCCGTTTGAACCCGAACCCGATGAACCCGAACCCAATGAACCCGCAACCCGACTAACCCGCAACCCGTTTGAACCCGACCCGATTGAACCCAGCGCGAACCTGCCCAATTGACACCTATAGTTGCCATAAGAATGAAAATTGACGAGAAAAATATGGGTGCAGAGAACATTAGCTATGGCAACATCAAAACTGACCGTAGATATTGTAATAGAAAATAAACCATTTTGTATAATGGCGATCTTATTTTTTTATTTCATTTTCTAAGCAAAGAACGAATAATAAAATTTTCTTCTGTATAACACTCGCTTGCAACTTCTTCCAGGAAAACTACGCTCTAGGTGGTCCGGACCATTCACAGTGACCCAGGTGTTTCCATATGGGAGCATCGAGATTGCCAATCCGCAGACCGAGCTTTTCAAGGTGAACGGGCATCGCCTCTAGTTGTATCTGGGATGCGATGTGGAACGAGTGGAGTTGGTGATTGATCTTACGGACCCTTAGTTCTGCCATTTGCATTCTGCTAAATGACGGTAAAGAAGCGCTTGTGTGGAGGCAACCCACCAACGATTTTCACTTTTTTCCATTTTTTTTTGTGTTTTAGAGTCGTTTGTGTCTATTTTGAGTCTTGTGTGTCGCGTCCCGAGCCCGTTGTTTGTCCGTGTTGTCCCCATTTTCGTCCGTCGTTGGCTCAGGGTCGGTTCGATGGTATTTTTCTAAGTGTTGAGATATCCACAGTATGGGGAAGCATTTCTACGATCGTGAATTTTGCTCTGCAGACCGGGTAAAGGGCTTGCCAAAATCCAGGGTCCAAAATTTAAATTCCCGACCGTGGATTTTTTGTGGGGGAGACCGGGAAAAAATTTCAAATTCCACGGTCCGGATGGCAAATCACTGACCATTGATTTTGGAGAGAGACCGTGGATTTTGGACTATAAACGAATTTTGTGTCGAGCCCCTCATTTTTCCACGGTCTCTCATCCATCGGCTCTCCCCTCTATCCTCCTTCTCCCCGCCAAACTCACCTCCTCTGCCACTGAATCTTAGATCTTGTCTCCGTCCGACCTGGATCCCAAATCCGACGTCGGACCCAAAAATTTTGGGGGCGATCAGAGATAAAAAAAAATTTGGCGTCCTCTCCGATGACTTCGCCGGGGACATTCCGGCGAGTCCTCCCCGACTGTTTTAGCTGGTTTTTGTTCCCCCATTCTCCGCGTAGTCGTCTACTTGCATCTCCAGGTTGGTTTCCACCTCTTGACTTAGTTATTTGTGGAGAATTGACAGTTAGGTAAAGAACGGAGTTGACCCAGTGTCACCTCCTCATACAAGATCACCAAGCGGGCACTCTATTTCATGTACTCGATGACCCGGGAGGCAGACAACCTACACTTGGGCTCGATGGTGGCGAAGACCTTCGCCAAGTCGGCAAATCACCCTCGGCATCTATTTTGTGGCGCTCTCATCACCATTCTGGCGCAATATCTAGTGGTCAGCCTCGAGGCTCTTACGAACATTTTTGCCGCTGTCGGCTCCTTCTACCTCACTGGAGACATCATCTTCAACCAGGGACTGTCGATGCACGTTGAAGGATACGAGTGGGTTGAGGGCCTCTCTCTTCCTCCTACCGAGAGTGACAAGGATGATGATGACGATGACTCCGATGAGTCCTCAGAGAATGAGTCTTTCCTTGAGGAGCCTCTCTCCCCACCAGAGGATCTGCCTCCCTGAAGGAGATTGATGCGAGGCAAGTCCTCCTACCGTCCTATGGTCCTTCTCTTTCGTCGATCAAGTTCTTTACGTCCTAGTTCCTGCAAGTAGCCATCAAGAACCAGCAGATCTAGACACATCAACTCTAAAGCAGTATTGGGCTCACCAGGCGCAGTACTCCAGTCATCTATACTAGTTCGATGCTCGTTTGGACCAACTCCAAACCCAACAGGGTGGTTTCTTAGGCCGTATTGAGCACGAGCAGGCCACGAGTCGCCGAATGTAGGAGGTTCAGCAGTACTTGGTTCAGTAGACTCCTGGTGAGCCCCCGGTTTTGCAAACCACGTGGGTTGATTCACCACCACCACCGCAGCGAGACGATGACTTCCTGGTAAACATCAACTTTGACATCGATGTCGACGCCAACGAGTAGGCTGTAAACGCTGCCTGCTTCCTTGTATTTTTGTTTTCTTTTTCTTTTTGTGTTTTGCTCCATGTGTGTGAGGAGCGTGAACTAAGTCGTTGTCTATTTTCTTTCTTTTTGTTTTTTAGCCCATTTGGGTGGCAACTGTTCCTAACATTTCATGATCTAGAGGTTGTTTCTATGAGCCTTTTCTTGTAGCGGCTGGTCCACTTTCCAGTCTTCCCTTGATGACTAGTCCTATCTCCAATCTCATGCAGTCTGTTTTTCGATAGCATCATTCCCCTTATATTTCCCTCTTCTCCATTGAGGGCAATGTCAATCTTAAGTATGTGTGTGTGGGGGTGTTTATCTTTGATTGCTTTGATGTGTTTGTGTGCTTGAAGCCTAAACCACTGTCCAAAATTTCGATTTGAGGGCTCCAACTACGTGTTCATTGAAATTGCATGCTCAGTATGCAACCTAGGGAGGTAGTGTAGCCCTATGGAGGATGTTGATGCATTAAGAAGTCTCATTTCTTCTTCATATTGTGTTGGTTGATTGTGAGAATTAGTGATCGTAGGACACTTGGAGATACGTGATGGTAGAGATGTAGTCATTTTTGAGGAAATTTGCCCACTCCAGGAGCAGTTAAACTTTTTGTTGTGGAATTCATAGGCAGATAAAACAACCGAGCAACCAATTTGGTTGCTAAAAAGGCATTTTCTTTGTGTTCCTACAAGTGTTAGTGGTTTTGATTTTTGACATTGACTTATCTTTTAAATGTAAACTATGTTATCTTAATAGTTATTGGTAATACAAGTTATGTAGGCCAAAATCATTTCGAAGGGACAAAATATTTTCATGGGCCCATCTCTAGCCTCCAATATGGAAAACCCATATTGGCAAAAATGAAACTTCGAAAATAAATGCTCTCACGCTTCACCTCTGTTTCTCATTATACGAGTCGATAACTTAAAATAATCCGACCAAGAGCCGGGTAAAAGCTAATCTAGTTAAGATATTTATTTTAGTTGTAAATATATTGTTTTCCCTCGTACTTAAAATAAACAAGTTAAATCAACCAAACTCACGCTCACGGCTCATCAACCAAAAAACAAAAAAGATTAGTTTCGGAGAGAAAATAATTAAAAGTAAATAATAATAGGAACGAAGCCAAAGCGAAAACGAACTTTCTTCTCCCTTGTTCCCTTCCGCCTTTTCTTCCTACCCTCCCCTCCTTCCCCTCTCCTCGTTTTCAATTTCCTTCGAAGGTCGTCCGCTCTTCCCATCGCCGGCTATATCAATCAGGTAAATTCTGCCTCCTAATGTCTTGATTTCTCCGGCTGAGCCATGAGCGCTTCTTCTTTTCCCTTAATTTCCGTGGTTCACTTTATTATTGGCGGTGTAATTGGCAACTTGCCTACGTTTGCTTGTTGCTTCCTGCTTAGCAATTTCGATGATGACCCTTTGCAGCTGTAACAGTTTCAGGAGGAATTTTGGATTTAAACTTGTTCCTTTTTTTGTTTGATTGCTTGTTTCAGATCCTTTAGGGACGATCGAAGTAGTTTAAAATAATGAAATTATTATATTTGGTGATGAATCTGGAATCTGATTTCTCCGCGGATGTGCTTCGCCCCTTTTGTGGTCTTCTGTAAACTTGGCATTGTGGTGCTGAACGGGAGCAGTCTTCTGGACTGTATCTCTAATAGCACTTGGGTTCTCAGGGTTCTTCATTTGATTCTTCCTCGGAAGAGAAACTAACAGAAACAGAGAGAGAACTCTACTTGGGAATGCTGCATGATGTGCCTAACTTCTGAGAACTCAGTCTCTCAAGGCAATGACCATGTGGCTTCCATTGTCTTCTTTCCCTTCTTCACATTTGATGAGACTGGTACTGGAAATTCTGCTTCTTTAACTGGTTGCAGTAGTCGCCCCGATGGTAATGGTTCCAATATCTGCTACAGAGTTCCGAATATAAAGACGATGCTAGACTTTTCTGAAGACGGTTGATTAAGCCCCACTTCAACTGCTAGTAGTTTGGATTACTTTGGGGATTTCGTAATATTTGGCTTGACAGACAGGGTAGTAGTTTTTTTTCTTCGAGTGTGTGCTTGTATTATTAGCTTGGGGGATGGATCATAAACCGAGTGTGTTGACTGCAAGATACGAGGTCGGGAGGTTACTTGGTCAAGGGACTTTTGCTAAGGTGTATTTTGCAAGGAGCATTACAACAAACCAGAGTGTAGCAATTAAAGTGATTGATAAAGACAAGGTTTTGAAAGTTGGGCTTGCTGATCAAATCAAGAGAGAAATTTCCGTGATGAGAATTGTTAGACATTCGAATGTCCTTCAGCTTTATGAGGTCATGGCAACCAAAACCAAAATCTTCTTCATCATGGAATATGCAAAAGGAGGTGAGCTCTTCAACAAGGTTGCTAAAGGAAGGTTGAAGGAAGACGCTGCTCGGAAGTACTTCCAACAACTGATCAATGCTGTTGATTTCTGCCACAGCAGGGGTGTTTACCATCGGGACATTAAGCCAGAGAATCTGCTGTTAGATGAAAATGAGAATCTAAAGGTTTCGGATTTTGGATTAAGTGCTCTTGCTGAATCCAGGCGCCAAGATGGTTTACTTCATACTACCTGTGGAACTCCTGCATATGTTGCTCCTGAAGTTATTAACAGGAAAGGGTATGATGGAGCCAAAGCTGATATCTGGTCTTGTGGGGTGGTTCTATATGTGCTATTGGCAGGTTATCTGCCATTTCATGATTCGAACCTGATGGAGTTGTACAGGAAAATCACTAAAGCTGAATTCAAATGCCCTAATTGGTTTGCCCCAGAAGTTAGAAGACTTTTGTCCAAGATACTGGATCCAAATCCCATTACAAGGGTATCCATGGCCAAGATTAAAGAAAGTTCCTGGTTTAAGAAAGGATTGAACTCCAACAAACAGAGAAAACTGGAACAAACTGAAACCCAAGCTATGGCTCCTTTGAGTAGAGATGGATCAGGTCCTTCTAGCAATGGTAGCAGCATGCCCTCCGAGGAAGCAAAACAAGAACAACCGATGAAACCTTCAAACTTGAATGCATTTGATATAATCTCTCTCTCACCTGGGTTTGATCTATCTGGACTCTTTGAACACGATTTACTGAGAAGAGAAACCAGGTTTACTTCTAGACAGCCTGCATCGGTCATAATATCTAGACTTGAGGATACCGCCAAGCTTCTGAAAATGAAGGTGATGAAGAGAGAACCAGGGCTACTGAGGATGGAAGGAGTGAAGGAGGGTAGAAAGGGTTTGTTGACCATTGATGCTGAAATCTTTGAAGTTGCACCTAACTTTCATTTGGTGGAAGTGAAGAAATCAAATGGGGATACAATGGAGTATCAGAAGGTAGTGAAAGATGGCATGCGATCTGCACTGGATGATATTGTCTGGGTTTGGCAGGGTGGAAAGGAACCACCCCAGCAGCAGGAAGAAGCACAGTATCTTCCACCGCCACTGCAACAGCAACAGCCGCTGCAGCAATAATACAGTGACCAGAATAGCTCAGCAACTCACTCTAGTCCTTTGGCGAGATACTCGCCGCTGATTGGCAGTTTCTCCGAAATCTCATCTCTGTATAATTTTGTGAATTGGCAAAGCTCTTCACTTTTTGTTGTTGTGTTCATTTGTTTGTGTCCCCTTTTTGACGTTTTGCTGTGCTTCAGCTTTAATGTATGTATCTGGAATACCCCGAAACTCTTGTATTGATAACTGCGTTATCGAATCTATATGGTGAAGTATAAAAGGCAGTTACAATAACCTCTTTAGTATCCGTCCATATGTTCACTCTTAGCTTACAAACATTGAGACGATAGACGATAGCAGCATTCGAAATAGGATTATAATTCATACAATTCGAAAATTGCTTATTATCAGTCCAACCAAATCGTTGGACAAAACTGTGGATCTTGCTAATGTCAAGTCAAGTCGATGAATTTGGGAGAAACAGCACCAGAAAATCTTGACCTCTTGCTGAATGGCCACATTGTGCATTCTGGAGATGGGGACAACAGATCTATGACCTCAATTTGACGACCACAACTGCGGATAGCTGCTGCTGCGTTTCCGCCAGCAACAGCACTACTGGTTGATTCTTTCCTTTTAATGGATCCCAGTTTTGAATCACTCCCATCATCTATCACCACCAACACATTCCCATCTCCCATATCTCTAAGAACAGGAGCAATTCTTCTTCCGGAAATACTTTCGAAGTTGGAAGTATCCATATGATGATCTAGTTCTGAGTCAGGGGAAAAGCTTGTGTGTCTCCAGTCAGGCTCTTCATCGTACCATCCCCAGTTTTCTTTGTGACCAATGTCAATGCTACCTGCATAGTCGACGGCAATGTGATGAGCTACTGCATCATCCGTGGAGCTTTCTACCTCATTTCCACACATATCGCTTCTTGCATCTGATTCTTCATCATCTTCACCATTTCCCAATCGTTCTTTGCCTCCAAATGAACTCTGCCCTTTTCCGCCTTCCTCACTTTCAACCACATTCTCCTCTGCAATTCGACTCAAGTCACTGACATTCTCCCACGCATTGTCGTCACCAAAGCGATTCTCCCCTCCATCTTCACCGTCGTCTAGCAAACCGTCATCAAATGTTCCAGTGTAGCAAGGGAGGTCGTCCATGGGACAAACTTGGACCTTCATATGCTGTGGCAGACTAGGCAAACCAGGGGAACAATTTTCGTACTTGGTCGAGAAATAGTTTACAGTCAAGTTCAATCTAATCACACAGAAGATAGAAACAAAACATTAGTTGAAGGCCTCCTATCTAACTAAGAAACTCCACAAAAGCAAGCATATTGAAATCTGTTATCAGTCAGTTATCACACCTCTGCCAAGGAGGAAGGCCAAGCATAGTGTAGGCAAGTTTGATATTATTAGCCACTCCAGAGAAGGATTTGAAACTCAACGCGGCCTCCCTAACGGCTTTCGATTCCCTTGGATGCTGCCACGCCCACTCAAACTGGAGAGCAGAGACTTGAGTTGGGAAGCCATAGATGCAGAACATCATTGCCAAGGGGCGTTTTCCCTTTGTCCTGAACGCCCCACACTTGATTTCCCCATTGTGCTGCCTGATTCTACGACGTGGATTAACTGTAAATCTGGAAATCGCAAAGAATCAAATCGATCGGCCATCATTTGAGGAGAAACCAATCAAGATCGGAATTGAATATGAATGGAAATGGGAAAAGGACGCTGCTTTTCTTTCTTAGGTGGTCCATGTTCAAATTGGGGAACAGGGTTTTAGAGGGGAAAACTAGAAGAGTGAAATCCGACGATAAATTTGAGGGATCGGGATGAAGAGCAAAGAGATAAGAGTTTACGATCCCGATATAAGTGAAGTTTTTGGAACGAGGAGAGAGGGAAGTGAGTAGGTAACAAGCATAGAATCTATTTCCTCCATTGTCATCTTCTTCGATGTTTCCCTTTCCGTCAACTTCCTCTGCTTCTTCTACTTGATGCGGTGCAGGTATTTGGGTTTCGGTCTGCCGCGGCTTTCTCTTCCACTTTGATTTGCTGTTTGACGATTTCCTGGGCGCCATTGCTCCCTCTCTCTGTGGGGTTCTGGCTTTTCCTCGGATGCAATTCGACCGTTGGGCGGCCCATTTATTCACGTGACTAGTGCTCTAACGGCCAAAGCAGATACAATTAAAAATATCCAGCAATTAGGAAACGGAAACGAAGAAATTAATAAATTTTTCACCTTTTCTGATCGAAAATGGTTTTGACAGAAACATTTAAAGAAATAAAATAAATTATCTTGTAAACAATTCGAATTCAAAATTCCACATCTTTAAATTTAAATTTCATTAGGTTTTTACAAAGTCACTTGGTTTCAGTTTTTTTATACGTGGAATACCCTCTCCGATCATCACTTTAATGATGTCAGAGTCAGGCCAAACTACGGGGCAGGCAACCCGTTTGCACGGCCGAAGCCAATCTTGTCTACATTCGGGAACATCCAGAAGGCAAAACATTTATTTGAACTCAGGATCCCGTCATCACAAGTCGAACCCCGCCCCTACTAATTGGGCTATATGACCTTTGGTCTCTTGGTTTCAATCTTATATTGATTATATCTTTTAGTTTTTGTATAAATTTGTCTTATTTTATTTTTCATTGAATTTGTAATCTATATTGATGATCAAAGTGGAAGAAAAACCTCATAGTTCAACATAAAACTTCACATCTTGCTACCTTGTGAACAAACCCAAAGACAAGTTATCTATACAAATCATCTACTCAAGTACAATAATTAATGAAAAACAAGAGGAAAGTTAACTATTTTCGATTCTAGTCCTTCTTTAAACGCGCCGGCTGTTCCAGATCATAAAGACCCAAAAACAAAAGTTCAGATGTATTTCTTAAGACTCCTTCGGGACGGGATACAATAACAACACTGAATGTGTTGTTATAATAACAACAAGGGTAAAAGGGTCACATTGACCCAAAATTAATAAAATAAAAATTAAATTAACTGACTTTCTCGGCTCATGCGCTCTCTTCCTCTCCAACATAAATTGCTCCCAGTCCCAGATCTATATTCCATTCCCCGGCGACGGTTGTCTTTCTCCCAACATGGCGGTGCTCAATTTCCCGCCGCCAGATCTTAGGCGAATCGCCAGCGGTCTCCGTGCGGCCGCCGACCAAGTTGCCTGGAAGCCAGACTTTTCCGGTGGAGTTTGATAGGTAAAGCAATGGCGAGAATCAGGGACAGGAACGAAGATTTCAAAGATGCGGTGAGGCACGCGGCCGTCTCCGCCGGATACGACGAGGTAAAATTTGTCAAGGGCTTCTCCGGTAAGAAATTACAATTTCCCGTTCAATTTTTTGAGTTTTCTTCTTTCCCTCTTGTTTGTGCCTTCCGCAGTCGAAATTGGCAGCAATTATGGCGTCTTTCATCATTCACAAGCCCAAGCAATCGTCGCCTTTCACCAGAGCTGCATTGAAAACGGTACAGCTAGCTAGCTCCTTCATTCCCACGGAGGGCCGGTGGCGACCAACATCGAGCTCGCGGTCGCTAGCCGTCGCTCCGGCAGCCGCCACGTCTGCGTGGTACCGGATGTGGATTCCAGATCGGAGTACTTGCGAGCCCTGCGTCAGGCGGCGACGGCGGTGGAAATTCAATTGATGTCCCAGTGGGCGGTCAGGTTGTGGTCGGGGAGCCAGAGGAGGTGATGCGGGGGCTGGCCGGAATCGATTTCCTTGTGGTGGATTCGTGGCGGAAGGACTTCGCTAGGGTTCTGTGCTAATTGTTGTTGTGCTAATTGTTCCTGAATTTTTGTTTCTATTTGTAAATAGGTTGCTGAGTTTGTCAAGGCATGCAAAGAGCTGATCGACATTCTTAAGACTAGCATAAACAATGAAGACACGAATGCCAAAGGATGGCTTGGTAACGGAGAGCTTCATAATGCCCTTCGTGTGGACCAGCTCGATGAATGTCGACATTAAGTTAACAGAGAGCTTCTGATCTGGTTTTACCCCCACAAATTAAAGCAGCCTGGAGATCGATTAGACGAGACACCGTCGCACCTCGCTTAAATAAACAAAACCATAAACCTCGCAAAACAAATCACAAATATATTAAAACAAACCAGAAACCTCGCAAAGCAAACCACAAAAAATTAGAAAGCACACCAGAAACACAATAAAGCAAACCAGAATCCTCGTAAAGCAAATCACAAATATATTAAAACAAACCAGAAACCTCGCAAAGCAAACCACAAAAAATTCGAAAGCACACCAGAAAGACAATAAAGCAAACCAGAATCCTCCTAATGCAGACCACAAATCTCCTAAAACAAACCACAAACCTCACAAAGCAAACCACAACATTTGCGAAAGCACACCAGAAACCTCCTAATGCAAACCACAAACACAGTAAATCAAACCACAAAAAGCAAACCATATACGTCCTAATGCAAACCACAAATATATTAAAACAAACTAGAAACCTCACAATGCAAACCACAAAGTTTTTGAAAGCAAACCAGAAACTTCTCATAGTATGCATCGTTCCTTCCAGAATTGGCTTCCAAGAAAACACTAGAGATATTGTCTTACATAAAACTCTTCCAAAAGCTTTGTAACAACATGAACATGACCTTTTATAAAAATCAGTAAATCATTCGCAAACATTTGATGAGTCAACCCTATTTTCCGACATTGAGGTTGATAGAGATCAAATACATACTAGACAACATCATTCGCGATTGAAGATAATGCCTCTGCTACAATAGTAAACAAGTTTGGGGGAAGTTATCCACTGTATGATCCTTTGCCTTGCATAAAAAACTCGATTGAGCGAGATACTAAATCTCACCATAGACATACCCACACACACTGATCTATGAACAAATTCTGGAGGAAAGACCACAACAGACATATTCATCAAGAGTTATTCAATTGACAGAATCAAATGCCTTCACTATAGCCACTTTAATAGCATCACGACAAAGATTTTTACTCTGGTGGCAAGTAACTAACTCTTCAGTCTTAAGAATATTATCGACAATCATTCTATCTCTCATAGAAGCATATTGATTTGGGCTATCAAAGCCCCCCAATACCACTCTAAGCCTTTTAACAAGAATTTTTAAGACTACTTTGTAACTCACATTGCCATAGGATATAACATCTGAAGTCCCTAAGTTTTTCGTAATGGGAGTTTTGGAAAAAAGAGAAACTGCCATAGAATTGACTAAAGTAGGCATCAAACATGTTTAAAGTAGGCAACAAACCCCTTTTAAAAGTTTGCAGAAAAACCATCAGAACCAGGTGTCTGATGAGGATCAAGGAAAAAGAGGGCGACCCAAACATCTTTCGTCGTACCCTCATAACATAAAAATCGTTCTTCTTTCTTCCTCAATCTTTTAGTGAGCTATTCTTCTAACTAAACTCTATTCAGACTACAAACAAGGATTGGATGCGCACCTCTACCATATCCGTACAAAACAATAGCGCATTTATACAGAATGGTAAAGGGGCTCCTCTAGAATTTAAATCTCTAATTGATGATCATAAAAATGACTAGAAAAATGAAGGTAATTTTGAAATCCTTACCAACTTGATCTTGTTGCTGGATCTCCACCAAGGCAAGCATAAAAGGAGGAGAAGGAAAGGGAAGAAGAGGTTCAAACCGCAAAGCCCAAATGTGGTGGTGGAGTATGTACCTTAGCTTCCATTTCCGAGTCGGATGCACAATGATCTCCTTGAAGTGGAGTTTGGGAAGTTCATGGAGATGCTCATGAAGATACTCAAGGAGATCCAAATCAACATACCTTTTTGTTCAGGCCATGTTACAGATGCCAAAGTATGCTAAATTTCTCAAGAACGTTATCTCCTACAAGAAGAAGGTTGGGGGATCTCTCCACAATGATGCTCAATGAGGAATTCTCAATCATCCTGCAAACATGCTTCTGGAGAAGCAGAAAGGTCTAGGGAGTCTTACTAGCACTGTTCTCATTGGTGCATTAATTGTAGACAGATCTTTGACGATTTTAGGAGCAAACATTAATGTCATTCCATATAAACTGTTCAAGAAACCTGGTTATGTGAACCCACTACTACTAGGAAACGTATTCAACTTGCTTCTCAATTTGTAGTACATTCTAGGAGAATAGTGGAGGACCTCCTGGTTAAAGTGACAAGTTTTTTCCCATGGATTTTGTTATTCTTGATATAAATGAAGACGTGGATGTATCCTTTATCTTAGGCGAGCCCTTCCTAGAAAAAACCAAGGTTTTAATTGATGTGCATGATGAGACTTTGATCTTAAGGGATGGCGAGAAATAAATACAATTTTTTTTACCAATAACATGAAACATATCCTTATGCATGATATTGATAATGAGTGTAATGCAAAATATGTGTTTATGTCCCTTACTTTAGCGATTTCATCTGTTTATTTAGTATGCACCCCGTCCATGATAGTGACGAGGATCCTGTTGATGGTACTGGTTTGCAGGGGAAAAGGCAACCCCGTTACGAACCAGAAAGCCTAAGTATCCCAATGAGAAAGGTAAGGATAGGTAGCACCCCATGGTACAGGAATCTAGGCCTATAAGCAAGAAAACTAGAGATTACTATAAGATGGTATCAGATCCTTAGCCGCGACCACCTTGGCCATTTGCATACTCTCTCACGTGCATTCTTCCAGATGGCCAGGTGGCTTGACTCGTTCGAATGGCCAGTGTTGCTCTACGTACATGCCCACTATATGAACATGTACCTCAAAAGTGATGTTGATCAACTCTTGGAGGCATCCCATTCTTAGACCCCTTAGTGCACTCAGCTACGTTCAGCTAATGACGTAAAAGAATTTATTGTTGGGAGACAACCCAACGTACTTGGTTTGCATTTTCTTTTTCATTCCTTATTTTATTTTACCTTATTTTTTAGTCTCATGTGCTTGTGTGAATCTTGAGTCATTTCGTGACTTATGTGATATTTTTTGTCCTTGGAAGTGTTGAATTTGAGTTTGGGGCATGAACGACCTCCTCTCACTGAAGCAGTTTTTGTGGCCATTGGATTTTGAGCTTTCATGATGAATAGTTTCCTCCCTCACCTCTTCCACACCTTCCAATAGCTATCTACTTGAGTTACCAGATTGGTTAGCTCTTGTTTCATTTTCAATTTAGAAATTTTATACTTGGGTTCTTATGTGCGCAATTTGGTCATTTTTTAGAAATTAGTCGAAGTAGGTGAGGGGATTGGCTTAGGATGATTGCTTGCATGATTATAAATGATGATGGATGATTGTATGGTGCCTTAATAGGCAAGATTTGCTTATTCATCACTTGTTATTAACGAACGCCCATCAAGTGTTTGATGAAATGCCTATGTTTGGTACAATTTTGTGGGTTGTGATTTATGCTTTTCCATTAATGAAATAAGCTTGTTCTTACCTTCAATATGTTTTATGAGTTCCTAGTATCGTATCATTGGTTTGGTTTGGCCCATTTGTGCTTCCCATTTGTTCTACCAAGCGTGTTTAACCACTAGTGGATTTCTTCAGCATGTTTGAGATGTCCAAGACAAAGTTCACCACTAAGGATGGAGTAGTTGCCTTCAGGTTTAGCATGATCACCCGATCCATGAACTACGACAAGTTCATTGATGCCATCCACATCCTTCCAGATGTTGACGCCCAGACGTTGGTTGAGAAGGCCACTCCTAGCATCAATTTCGAGGCCTTCTTTAAGAAACTGAGTATCAATCCCCTTATTAGGTGACCAGTATGCATGCTAGTACAAAGCAATATGGCATCATATGGTTGCATCCATTGCCACCACTCTAAATGAGTTCTATTGTCTTCTCAGCTTCGTAAACAGCATCCATATTCCAACCACCTGATGCTCAATTCCAAACCAGGAAGTAGTAATGCATTGTGTTCCAAGAATCATCAGAAAAAAACCTGGACACAACAAGAGTATACATAACCAATGCTACCCATCATCACATTCAAAACAAGAATCACAACTACATAACTCGATGATTTCAAAGTTTCCCATACTTTCACGTTCAAAACAAGGAAATGGATATGCTTAACAGAAGCAAGTAAAAAAGGGAAATTTCATGAGTCAAAGACAGTGTGCAAGTGCGGAAGATGTAAAACACATTTGATTATATTTAGAACTAATTACAATGCTAACCAACGCTTCAAATGGCAGTTTAGCACCACAGGGAACGCACTAACATACAACAACACTATCATCAACGACACACACAACAAGAGGTATGCGATATCACGGCACTATCTGTTAATTCCCAGGAACTAGTATAAGCAATCCCCCCATCCATTAACTCAAAATGGAACACAAAGGGTAAGAGCGTTCATCGCAAACTTGGGTGAAGCCGGCTAATTGGATGAATTGCAAGGTTTGGAAGCGGAAGAGGTGAGATGCCTCCAGAGGTAGCGACCACTAGCCATGTCAACGCAGGTCCAGAACCCGGACTCCACAGCTGACCGGACCTGCAAAAATTGGAAAGAAGAAGACGAAGGGGAAATTACTTAGTGTTCATAACAATTGCAGCAGTGTAAAACTGAGAGCAAATAGGCTAACAGTACAGTAGCAGCAGTAGAATAAGGAGAAGAAGTGAAGAACCTTGGTGAATCGAGTAGTGGAAGATGAGTGGGTGGAATCGCCGCGGTCGTCGGGAAGAGGAGCTTGGGAGGAGTTGAGGTTGCGGACGAGGTAGAAGCCGGCGAGAGTGGCGGAGAGGAAGACGAGTATGATGCGGAGAGGGCACATCTCCCCTGCCTGCCTGCCCGGAGACGGAGAAGATGGATTAGCAGTAGCGGAAGTGGAATCGGAGGAATGTGGATTACAATACGAAGAAGTAGACAGCTGATGATGACAGAGAGGGAAACTTTTTTCCAATTACGGTGGAAGAAAATGGGGGATTAAGGCCAGGCCGCCAAGGCCAGGGGAGGCGCGATCTGGAAGGGGATTGGTTCGTTGTTGGCCTTGCGGTTTGACGAAAGGCACAAAAATGGATTATTGTGTTAATATTTAATTCAGAAAATTCTTTCTTCATTTCCTTCCACCTAATCTAAACAACCTTGATTCATCATATTCATACCCCAATTACAAGGCAGGTAAGTAAGTCAACCTTTTTTTTTACAAAAGATAATCATATTCCTTCCACCTAATCTAAGCAAGTCGAGGAACAGATGCTCCATTGTCTCAGAATCTGCCCAGCACACTGGACATCGAGGATGGACTGGAATATCCTTCTCAATAAGGGCTTCCATCGTGGGAAGGAGCCGATTTAAAATTTACCAGAGAAAAATGCGTAACTTAGTGGGAATAGGGGCATTCCATAAGCGAATCCAACTTGGTCTATCCATCCAACTAGCCACCGATTGCCATCGTCCTTCTTTTTTATCTAGGAGAACAGCCAAATGGTAGGCCGACTTCACTGTGAAAATCCCATCAGCAGTCATATGCCAAACCAGACGATCTGCAACATCCTCGCGGGGGAGAGGAATCTCCTTAATTGCCCGACAGGTCGGGGGATCAAACCACTGGCTCATCTTTGTCTCGCACCAGTGCCCTTCCCCTAAGCATATTATCTCGGCCACCACTGGGTTTCCCCCAGCGGGCAGAACCCGCGGGTTATGGACAGGACGGATGTAGCCGAGGTACCCAATTATTTCCCAATAGAGGGGCGGATCGAACATTACCAATTTGCCACTGAAGCCCTTTAATTAACAGTTGACGACCGAAAAGAATGCTTTGCTAGCCCCAGGACGGGCGAGATCTAGTCGTTGGCTCTAGAAAACACCTCCTGAGAAAATATTTACCCTTATACACCTGGGCCAGACGAGAAGTGGGATCCTTCAGGTTCCGCCATCCAATCTTAGCAAGAAGCGCTTAATTAAAATGCCCAAACCGTCGAAATCTCATCCCTCTATCATGTTTGCTTCTGCACATGTTACACCAGGACATCCATCGGATCTTAGACTGTCCATTCTCCACTCCCCACCAAAATATGGCCACATGACTATCCAATAGGCGGCAGAGCAAAAGAGGGAGACGAAAACAAGACATAACATGTAAAGGCAGAGCCAAAACCACCAATTTGATCAAGGTCTCCCTCGCTGCCCAAGATAAAGTCTTCTGCTTCCATCCCTGGAGGCGAGCCAGGAGCTTCTCTTCCATATACCTAAACGTATCCATTTTCGACCGGGATATCAAGGTAGGCAACCCTAAGTATTTATCGTGAACCCCCATTGCATCCACTCCCAGGATTTGGGCGAGGAACTCCTGATCCGGGAGAACAGTATTCCGGCTAAAACAGACCGCTGACTTAGCCAGGTTAACCCGTTGGACACTAAGCTCCTTGTATTCATTAAGCACCATAATCAAGTTTTCGCAATCTTGAAGTGATCCCTGAGGAACAGGTACGAATCATCAGCGAAGAAAAGGTGTGAGATACGAGGAGATCGAGGGGTGACCTTGACTCCTTCCAATTTCTTGTCTGAGATAGCTTTCCTTAGCAGGGCTGCAAACCCCTCCGTGCAAAGAACGCACAGGAGGAGTGATAACGGATCTCCCTGTCGTAGCCCCCTCGAGGCAGTGAAAACCCTTTCGGAGTGCCATTCATTAGAACTGAAAACGAACTTGATCGGAGACACTCATGAATCCACCCTCACCAAGTGGAATTAAATCCTAACTTGTCCAAAATCGCTGGGAGAAACGCTCATTCGACTCTATCATAGGTATTATCCATGTCAACCTTAAGAGCCCTTTCTTTCCTCGCGTCTTGATTTTCAAGTAGTGCATTAATTCGTGCCCTAGAAGGACATTTTCCACAATCTGGCGTTCACGAATGAAGGCATTTTGCCCTTCTGAAACAATCCGAGGTAACAAGCTAGCCAGACGCTCAACCATGATTTTGGTGATGATCTTGTATACAAACTGGCACAGGCTGATAGGGCGGAGTTGTCTCATTCTCTCCACATTGTCAAATTTGGGGATTAAAGTCAGCCAGGAATGATTGAAGCTGCGTAGCATTCTACCAGTGGAGAAGAATGAGCAAACAGCGGCTATGATAGACTCCCCGACAATGTCCCAAAAGAATTTGAAGAACTTCCCCGTAAAGCCATCAGAACATGGAGCCTACTTGGATCCCATGGAGAAGACCGTCCTTCTTATTTCCTCGGGAAGGACTACTGCCATGAGACCGGCATTCATTTCATCTGTGACCCGACGTTCTATTGGTAGCTTGGACACTCGTTCTCCCATGTTGGGCACCTGGCTTTCTGAGGAAAAGAGAGATTGGTAAAAATTTGTGGCAGTATATGCCTTACCTCCCTCCTCTGTTATCCACTCTCCCGCATCATTATGAAGGCCCGCCACAAAATTATGTTTCCGACGAGCCCTGGTAACCGTATGAAAATACGCCGAATTCTTGTCCCCTTTCTTTAACCAAAGACCCTCGATTTCTGTTGCCAATAAACTTCTTCCGCTTCCCACTGCCTATTCAGATCCGTTTCCAGGGTCTTCACAGTATCCCAATCAATCGGGAATACCAGTTTGACCCGGTCTATTTATGCCTGGATGGCTTTTATATTGCGGAGGGAATTAGTAGTACCCGCCCTGCTCCAATCATAGAGCAAATGTCGGAGTCACGCTTTGGGGCGCCATCCAGCCTAGTATCGCCCCTCATGGGCCCATCTCGGTTCGGCAGTGGAGAGCGCTGGCGGATGTATCGATCGGGCCTAGCCCGCGCCTACGCCTCAGAGAGAAGCCACGCAGGCTTCTTCTCATGTGACTGAAAACCGATTTGCCCACAGCAGACCTTGGGCTCGCTCTCCGATGCGAATTGACCTGGCGGCCTTCAAGGCCCAGCTCAGAGACCCCCCCCCCCCTTCGGTACAATTTTTCACATGTCCATCCATGCATTCTCCCAGCGCGGTGTTGGCCCAAACGGACTTTGATTTGCCACGGAACTATTGATCATCATCCTCCGAATCGTACAGACGAATGCCTAGTTTCTTGGTGGACATGTGAGGGCCAAATTTTTCCTTACCAACTGGAGGTTCAAAGGTACATTCACTAATGAAGTGCCCTACCCGTCCATAGTTGAAGCAAAAAGATGGTAAATATCCGTACTTTAGTGAGACCGAGAAGCATCCAGTATCATCATTGGCAGCCAGATTTGCAATCGCAACGGTCTGGTGAGGTCTATCACCATTCTCACCTTCACAAACCGCTCACCAGTTTCTTGACTAGCGAACACCCCAGCCTCCACGACCTGGCCGAGTTTACTCGTGGCCATCTTCCTCCCGAATTGTTGCGTGCAACAATCCTCCTTCACATTCCACATCTGAACACGCAATGGGACCATAGTCAGGTCATCATAGAGCTTTTTCGAGATGTTCCTTGTCCATGATTGATTAGCTTCTACCGTCACTATAGAAAATGGCCAATTGTAACCACCTCCTAAAGCGTAGTAAAGCGGGTTTGGGTTTTAATTGCAACCCGGGTCCTAGATGTGATGACTACTCCGTGAGTTCTTATTATTTAGCCGTGAAACTTTAGTGAAGGTCCAAACAAGCAAACAATCAAAGTAGTTAAAAGGTTGTTTTCAAGTCGAGAGAGGTCACCAGGATATGGTTCCCCCTAGACTGCAGTTAAGCCGGATTGTAATTTACCAAGTTCAATTTCAATGATAGTTATACTGCGGGAGGTTCTTAAACAGCCTGCAGTCTCGACTAAAGGTC